CAATACAATCCTTTACGTGTAGACTGAATTCATGTTTCAAACCCTAAACACATGTACAAAATCATAAATAAAATGTATGGCAGCAAGACTTAACAGTACTCAATGATTACAGTATCACGCTAAAATGCCTTATTTACGAAGTTTAAGATATTAGAGAAGGGACAAATTTATTCATTTATGTATATTTGGTATGCTATGACATGATTAGACTGTCTTAACAAATAAGATTTTAGCAATTTTTCATCTTTAATATTCTCTAGAGCACTTTAAAATTTGATTTCATCAAGCTGATCTTTCAACAGATTTAAGCTTTCTGTTACTATTTAGATTTTAGTTCCCACAAGAAAGGAAGGGTTGCAGACCCTATATAACACTCCTCATCCTTCAACAAACTTCAAGCCTTGTACTCATAATTTTCCTCCTGCTCTCATAGAAACCCATAAACATGAAAAAGAGTTATCTTGCATGGATTCTCATCCTGTTATATGCTCAAATACTCCTACCAAGCTTGGTTCAAGCAAATCCCCAGAAATTGGAGCAAGAAAATCACAGTGAGAAATAAATTAATCATTGACCGTCTGTTTTATATTGAGATTCGGTTCCATTTAAAATTTAAATTCAGTTTAATGTTTGATATGCAGGCACAAGCAGAAAAGTGGATTATGATGCAAATGCTCATGATAAAGCATTTGTAGCAGAAAATGAAACAATTTGGACAAAAAAGGAACGGTCGGGGAGAGGACCTAATGGTGGTCCATATGTGAATCAACATCGACCCAAAAAAAATGCAGCAGCACTGTTATATACACCTTCGTTGGTCATTTTTATGATGTTTTTTTCTCCTACCGTCGCCTTTGCCTAGATGTTTTGTGTGAGCTTAGAACTTTATCTCTTTCAGCTCATTTTGGTGTTGGGTTTCCATAATTTTCTCGATTTGATCATGGCTGTAATTACACTGACGTGTTCTGTTTGATTTTATTAATGTTCAAGACGTACTTAATATCAATTATACTTTCTTCAGATTTATGTTGTATTACACTGTAGATTACCAAAAATTCCTTATAAAGAATCATATCATAATCATGCTACCTCCCTCAGGAAGAAACAAATAAGTTCCACGGGATCTCACTGGGAATGTTGCAGAAAAGGAGCATAAATAGCATTTTTACCTCCCAACATAAAAATAACAGAGTAACCTTCTCAAGACTCCTTTTCTTTCATTTAAGCACTCTTCTCTAATTAGATCTTTTTCAGCGGTTGTCATTTAATCCCAGAAGCAAAAATCCCCAAATCCAACGTGATCCTGGAAGTACATATCCCTAGGACAGTTAAAACTACCTAAACTAGCAAAGGAAATGCTTGTAGCCCCTGAAAGGTGCAGATTTTCATCCTAAAAACCTTTCGCCTGTAACCTTAGTTTTCTTATTTTGAGCCGCTAGTTAGAGGAGGACACGTTTATTTATTTATTTATTTCAATTCAGTCTTTAAACAAGCCCCCTCCCATAACTTCTGATTCAATTTTTATTATGAGTTTGAAGAGCTCTATGAGAGGGGACACATTTATTTATTGAAACTTAGTCTTCAACAACTTCAATCTTTCGCTATCCCTCTAGGCTCCCACCCCCAACCGACGAATTCTCCATCCACCGCTGAGTTCCATAAAAATTGCTTTAAACTCCTAATGAATAGATCC